CAGGCCTGGTCTCTCTTTCTCGGTCGCGGGAGGAACCATCATCGTCGTCGACAAAGGTTATGTTACAAGCTCAGTAGGTCACCGAAGACGAAACTGTTTCGTGGAAGATCTGTCAATCTTGATTTTAGACTTTTTCCATCTTTTTCTCGTGCCGCATCGAAAGCTTGTATAGAGATTTTTTGGAGACGCGACTATTATTACCTCACAAAAATTATATTTCAGAGATTCCCTTATATTATTGTTATAGTAGTTTGAATAATTGGAACTTGCAGATTATATACGACGAGGTTACAAACATGATATTTTTGTAGTCATAAATTCTGCATGCGAATTAGTCGATATCGACACTTTTCAAGACAATGAACCGATGAATCGCCATTAATTATTTTTATATTTTGCTATATTGGTTAATCTTATACCGTACAATTCTGTATCAAAGTCACTAAAATCACCGAGCGAATTAATCGACTCGCGATGATTATTTTGAATGTGATGTACCATAGTGAACGAAAATACATTGAAGCGATCGACAAATAAAATATCCCCCAACGTACCAATTATAGATAAAATAAACGATAATTGTGTTGCGCGGAAATTAGAGATAGAGATCGGTATTTTTGCTTGACGAGTGTACAAAAAATTGAAACTTTAAATACATAAACCGAAAATACGTCGATGACTTTTTCCAGAAGCCTGTGTGCGCGCGCGTTTATTTGCGCTGATCATTTTGCGGCGACGTGCCGCCATTTTGTTTTTACGACCTCCCCCGGACATGTCCTTACATTAGTCTTCTGGTGAACATACTTCTCGTGATATTTCTTACATGGCAACGCGAAAATGTTCAATTTTTCTACTTTTGAGTTTCTCGATAGTATACTTGAATTATCATAATTAATAATTAAAAGTCGTGACCAGAGATTTCGATGATAATGATAATAAAATACCGAATACCTAATAACTTTCCGCAAGATTTTTCTACAAATAAAATAGTTTGCATCAAACAAAACTCCCAAATTACAATAAATTTCATATTTTGTGTAATTTTAAAAGCTTATAATTTTTCGATAGAACGTGGAGAAACATGCGTTTTTGATTTTAATGTATTTCAATATCTAATAAAATACTTAAATATTTTATTTCTGAATAACAATATAAGATATTACAGTTCTCTTTATTATATTTGTCTTTTATTTTGTTCATCGTTACATAATAAAAAACTATTTCACCTGGATTTTTCTTTACAGAATATAAAAATTCTTCTTTCGAAAGTATTACTTCGAAGGTAGTAATTTTGAGCGTCGGGAATCGTCGACGCAGCAGTTGTGAACACAAAGATTCGAACGGCAAAGTATTTCCGAAGTCGCGCTTTAACCGTTTGACAAATCGCGACAACTAAACCGCCGTTAAACACGCAAACTACGGCGACTTCGTACAACGACATGGTCGGATGTGACACGAAAGTGCGATCAAACACGAAGTAATTTCGTAAGAATACAAAGATTTATATATACATATATATATATAAAATACATGTCTTCGTTTCTCTCTTCGAGAGAAAACGAGTCGACGCAAAATTTCATTAATAAATTCCTTTAATAGATTTGCTTTCTAATAAATGCCGCGAGTCCACGTTCACGTTTGAACGTCGTCAGATTGGAAAACAAGCGGCGCCTTAAACGCAGTTAATTAACAGGAATCGAGAGCGTTATCGTCAAACGCTGAGTTATGGCTGGCAGAGCGGAGTCTAATTGGTTTTACGAGACGGTCGCATCTCTCTCTTCTCCCTCTTTCTCGATATCAAAAGTTCCCGGTCACTTTGACGGAGACCGTTCCTCTTCCTCGCCTCGTAACAAACGCCATTAATTAATTATTCGCCATCGATCGTATATATATGCACTACTCGATAGTAAACATCGTCGAGACGATCCGGAGACTCGCGAGATAAAAAAATAAATATACTTAAATAAAAGAAGGATAAATGATAGGTATTTAACATGTCAATGTCGTGTAGCAGATCGCGATAAAAAAGAATCATCAATGTAACATAATCGCTTCTTCTATTCTTTAATCTTTTTAGTTTACTTGGATCACCCTGATCAGAAGATGGATAATCGTCCCGTTAAAGAAACATAAGCTTCTATCTTTATACAGAAATATATGGATATTATCCTTATTATTTACGTCAAACGTTTCCATCATCTCAACCGTATTACGAAACTTTGGTCGGATCTTTTGCGAATCCTTGTACAGGCGTGCGTCTGATCATTTCGCGAAGGTAATTACGAGTGGATTATAAAACAGTGAGAGAGAGAGAGAGAGAAGTGTGGATAATATATGTATATATGAGAGAGAGAAACCGCATTGGCGCTAGTCTAGCACACCGCGATAATATAACGAAGTATAATAGCTACTCTACGCGATTATATCGTCCTAATAAGCGCAAGAGCGATGACGCAAGGGAGCCTTTCGCGGGATAAGAAGAATGTGAGAGGCCAATGTGAGGTCGAAGCTCGCGCGCGAATTACGCGGGTGGTCGGGAACAAAACCGAGAGCGAAATATGGTGTGTGCGGTCTGTCTATTCTTTTTTCTTCATGATGATGATGATGATGATGATGATGACGCTCGGCCGCGCATCATCATAATTGCGCGCACCGACATATTGCACCGGGGCAATTGTGAGAAATCAATCGGGCGAATATTCCCCCGATATGCATGCGGTCTCTCTCGAATCATTTATCAATTGTATAGTCATTATGTCGCGCACGTTACACGCGTGTTTTGTATATACATATGTACATACGCGCCTCGAAGCGTAATCGCGGATCGCTGATTACATATATGGCGTATAAATCATGCATTTTCTCACAAATCACGAGACCAATCGAGTGAAAATTGATCGGACGATGACTAATGGCGTGGGTGCTTTTTTTTGCATCCGCCCAAATATATATATTTAAGGAGACACCCGTCGGAGATATTTATTTATAGACGGTGTTAATGACTTTACAGAATAAGCGCGAGGTATCTCGCGGTTCGTCGGATTTTGACGTTTATGACGTTTATCGATGGGGAGAAAATGGCGAATAAACGGGTTAAAATGAGATTATTATTCGGAGATCGTTCGAGACGGGATCTATTTCTGGACGATAAAGGGGTAAAACAGGGGGTGCGGAAAAAGGGGGCGCGTAATGGGATAATATTCGCTCGATGGCCCTTTTACCCTTTATAATGATGATTCCTCTCGGTTTTGCAGCAAATTATGCGGGAGACGAGAAATGTACAAGAGAAGAGATATACTCTCGGTCCATTCGTACTTTGAATTTTCTCGACAGAATATTCTCTCATTTTTTTTCCCTCGCGTTGGCGCTGTCGCGTCGGAAAATAAAGAAATGTATCTCGATAGAATATCCGACGTTCATTCGTGTATTCGTATATAAATATCGCTTAAATGCACGCGATCCTCGGATCGAGTTCGCGCAAGAGGGAGGGTTGTAATAAGAGGGTTCCTGGAGCGTATTACTCGTGTTATTTAGCAGTAAATCAAAGCTGGAAATGTAGGCCGTTATTGTACGTTGAATATATATTGCCTCCGCCTCGAAATTGCATTCGAAATAAGTAGTACGTCGACGATTGTTTCTTATAAATACGAAGCTCGTTTGGACGCAGACATGATTCGCGATAATCCACGGCGCGAGATTACATTCCCGAGTTATCTCGACTCCTCTAATTAATTCGGCGAAGACCCTCCTCCGTCCTCCTTCGCGAGAGGAAGCGCACACCGAAAAAATTCTTTTCTTAAAATACATACTTTACAAGCCCTCTTAACAGATATCCTTAATGAATAAGGATATTTCCTTCTTTATATGCGACGCTTTTTGGAATATCCTCTCAAATTAAGAATATATTCTTTCAGTTTCTTTTCGCAACTTTTTTTCAGTTTTTCGCAATAAAAAAATAGAATGAATTAATCAAATAAAATTATTTAAAATAATACATTTATAAGTTTATCGAAATTTAAAAAATAATAATATACATATATATATATATAATATAAAGCAAAAATGTGTATTTGTAAGACAGATTTTTGTTATCACGATTAATAATTTCGAATAATACCCTGATAAAAAAACACCCCATTATATTCTCGCACGTTACGAATATCTAATAAGAATATCTTTTTAGAAAAGTTTCCTCTTAAATTAAGAGTATCCTTTTGGCGCCTATCAAGGAAGATGAAAGATAAAAGTAGCCACTTAAGAATACAATTTTTTCGATGGTGCAATCGCTAAATTCGCGCGCGAATGCTCCTCGGATGTCCCTTCTACGTCCTTTTAATCCATTAGCGGGACCGAGACGTCGATTTGCTCTCGCAAACTCGCGGGTTATTGGGTATCCGGCCTCGTTTGAAAGATTGCTAATAATCTCGCGCACTTTCTCATCACATATGCAAATCCATTCGCTCGCACGCGGCGTTTAACGTAGTTACTCGCGCGCTATTACTACGCCGATGAGGGAGATAAGTGCTTATAATGACACCGACGGCCGGCACCATCGGACCATAATAGAAGACAGGAACGAACGGATATTAAGCGTGAGTGATGTTCGACGAACGTAAATTACGATATCGTTCGTCAAAAACTTTGTCAGTCTATATCTGGTACCATCGATTATCTCACATTAATATCGTAATGACACGGAAGAATGTATATGAATAATAAAACATATCTCCTTATGACACGACATATTTCTCCGGTGTCGACAATTCCTTTTACATTTCCAGTAAATACTTTTCAGCACATATAAAGCGTTACGTGTCAATTGTCATTTCAATTAGGATTTCCTTAAACGACAAGCTTATCGACAAGCTGTTCTGATTTAAACGCTTTTAAAATACATTTAAAAAGGTGCTGACCTAACAATGAGATTATGTATATGTTATCAACCAAATGCATCTTATCTTATCCCATTGACCATTTTTTCTTCTTCTTTGTTGACTCAGTCGCCGGAGCATTTCCGAGGCGGATCGGTCATCCCTATCAGAATCGAACGCCGCCGAAGAGGAAGAAGCCAAGGACTAGCTTCACGAGGCTGCAGATCGCCGAGCTGGAGAAGCGTTTTCACAAACAAAAGTACTTGGCGTCCGCTGAGCGGGCGGCCCTGGCCAAATCTCTAAAGATGACGGACGCGCAGGTAAAAACCTGGTTCCAAAACAGGCGGACGAAATGGAGGTGAGTCTATATATATTTTTGTTTGAATTTTATCATGAAAAACACTGCGGTGATTTATCGCGCCAACGTTTAGCAATAATCATTTGTTGCCCGAACAATCGTTAATTGTTTTCATCGCTTCTTCTTTTTTCAGGGTGTATACTCAAATCTTATCAATAAATTCCATGATTTTCCAGGTGTACTTTTGTTCAAAATTCCAAGTAAAGTTTAAGTATTTAAAAAAAATGTCAAATACAATTACATAATTTTTTAACATAAATAAAATATTTCTTAATATAACATTATATTTTATAATAAAATATATTTTATTATATTCTTTAAAGGTATATTTGAAAATAAAATCAAAGGGGCAATTTTTTAAAAAATTCCCCGAGTTCAAAATAAATTCCACGCGTATTCTAGGATTTTTCAAGGTAGACAAAAAAATTCCCCGAGAATTCCAGGTTTTTCCAGGAAGTATACCAGACCCTGTTTTTGACAAAGTTCAGCTGGTTCGTTAGATGTTGCTCATACTACCAGATTATCTTCCTGCGACGTATAATATATTGGGATTATTTGTATACCATAGATTCCAGTCTTGAAGCAGGTGTTAAATTCCTTGTTAAATGTTAATATTGCGTTTTCCGAGGAAGGATCATTTTTGGGCTTGGTTGTTTCCGCGGCGAATGAATCTTCCGGGGGGGAGGTAGAAGGGGGAGGAAAGGCGGAGCAAAACGCGAGCTGGAAACCGCGCTCGGAATGTTAATAGCGGGTTAGCCGCGGCCTGACGCGTATATCTGTAAACGCATTGGCAGTCAAATGTATTGGAGTCTCTTCAAGATAAGGGAGAACGAAAACACGTCATTTAGATAAAAAGGAAAGACCCTCTCGTAGCCGCAGGTCCCCGATACCGGGGGCGTCTGAGAGGCGAGACATACCCCGACGACATTCTCTTGGAGGACCCCCTGGCCTCTTTGTTTCTCTCTTTCGCTGCCAGGCTTCTGGACCAGCACTTGAGAATTTCTCAAATCGTCGTGGATGGTTTTCTACGACCGCGCGGTGATAAAGCGGTAAAGAAGCTTCTTGCGGACAGAGATTTCCGAGGGTTCACGACAATGATTCTTCCCAAAGATCTTCTTCGATGGGATTAAATTCCGACGAGTTTAAATTTTTCAAAGAGAGTGACGCGCGAACATCGCGATAAGGACATATCATTCCCCGTCGATGTCTCCTTCTCGAAAAAGAAACTCGGGAGTCGAAGATTCTTTCAATTTTAATCGACGCGCTATTTACACGCCGGTGTTGTCGCCATTGTGGCTCGAAACGACGAAACGTTCAAATATGAACATTTCTAATTTAGTTTGTGATAATTGCCTATAATTGCCGCGAGTCTGTGCACGGATTTAGTTGCAGTCATTATTCAATTCCCCGATCTACTTTCGGTATCCAAGCGACTTAAAATTATACATTACAATGTAGAAACGATTATCTATTAAAATTTTTTTTATCGCGCGACTCAACCGACATTTCGAATATCGAAGGAAAGCTCCACATTATTTCCTCGGATTACGGACGCAGGTTCGTCAGGGAGAGCGTTATCTCGCTTTACGTGTCTCAATATGCATACATGGAGAGTCGAGAGCGTGAAGTTTTTTTGTCGTCGCGGGTGAAATTCAATTTAGAATCCGACGACACGCGTTATCTGTCTCGGTACGCTCGGCGGAGCGTTATCGCCATGACAGGTACATTTGTCTAGAATGTTACGACGAGTTGACTTCACGCCGGAGTGACAGGTACATCATTTTTAATTAAAGACGCACGCACGACAGGGTAATCGTGCGCGCGATCAATAACGCGTCACCGCGCGCGCACGACGGACTTTTTCTCTCTGTATAAAGAAAATGTACAGGAATTAAAAAATCTCGAGCAACAAAAGATGAATTCGGGGAATTTTTCTCTTATTTACTCCATTTTTTTACTCAACGAGAAATCTCCTCTCTCTCTCGCGGCTTATATTTTGCATAGGGCAAAACTGTGAATAGAGGATTCTTGTTCAGGCACAAAATTCGTCTCGAGGAATTCAAAGATGATGAGCTTTCTTTGAAGCGCGCATATAAGCACCCGGAGTCTTAACGCGACTTTCGGTCCGGCGTGCAGCTGCGTTTAAAGTAACGAGATGACTGTAGGCAGAGATGAGATAACTCGGCCTCAATAATTCAGATACCTAACAGCTTAGCCCTGTCCCGTACATAATGTAGTCTCTTCCCTCCCTGTCTGTCCCTCTCGTCCCTCCTGCCCTTCTTCGCCACCGCTTTGACTGCCAATCCTCCGCGTGTTCGACCCCCTTTCCCTTTCCCCCCGGTCACCTCTTTCAGCCCCTCCGCCGCGAGAGAGCTTCTTGGCTTTTAAACTGTCAAACGTTCTCGAATCTCCGTTGGCTGAATCGTTTCGATTTCTGCCGGGCCGCTTCGACCCCAGCTGATCTTCGGCGTTCGTTAAACATTCATCGGTTACAGTGTAGGATCAGGCCGGTAACCGTTCAAACACGATTCGCAGGCATGACGATATATCGCGAGCGTTTAATGCAGCGCGTATATAAGAAAAAAAATCAACCGACATTATTCGCGATTCGGGATAATTGAAGTTTCACCGACGACTTGTTCCAATTTGTATCTATTCCTTTTCTCTCTCTTTTGATGTGCTTTGATATATATTCATATATCTATATGGCATCATATAAACATTTGAACATATATTTTTCACATAAATCAAATTTAATTGAAATACAATACGTGAAAAGTGCCACACAATTTTTTTGACAGCTGTCGTCAATTCGCGAAAATTTTACGAAATCATCCCCCAATAGAGTCTTACTAACTTCGACACAAATTGTTGAATTATGAAAGTGTTAAGATCTTCCACGTGTCAAATTATTGTAAACTACTTTAATGATTAATAAAATGGAAATATTTTTCACACAAATACAATTTAATTGAAATCCAATACACGAAAATTGCCACACCATTTTTTGACAGCTGTCATCAATTCGCTCCAATTTTACGAAATGTAGAGTCTTACCAGCTTCGACACAAATTGTTGAATTATAAAAATGTTAAGATCTTCCACGTGTCAAATTATTTCTCTGTAAACTACTTTAATGATTAATAAAATGGAAATATTTTTCACACAAATACAATTTAATTGAAATCCAATACACGAAATTGCCACACCATTTTTTGACAGCTGTCATCAATTCGCGAAAATTTTACGAAATCATCAGTAAGTCCTACCAGCTTCGACACAATTGTTGAATTATGAAAGTGTTAAGATCTTCCACGTGTCAAATTATTTCTCTGTAAACTACTTAATGATAATAAAATGGAAATATTTTTCACACAAATACAATTTAATTGAAATCCAATACACGAAAATTGCCACACCATTTTTTGACAGCTGTCATCAATTCGCTCCAATTTTACGAAATCATCCTCCAGTAGAGTCTTACCAGCTTCAACACAAATTGTTAAATTATGAAAGCGTCAAGATCTCCCACGTGTCAAATTATTGTAAACTACTTGAATGATTAATAAAATGGAAATAATCACGAATCGAGGACAGAAATGTGACGGATTAATTAGAGCGAAAGAACCGCGAGTCGATCCACATATCGGGCCTGGAGAGCACACGCTAAAGTATAAAGATAAGAGTAATGTGTCCCAGGTTGCGAGAGAATATGGTTATGCCGGCCGCAGCGGATAGGGCGAGGCTGCGTCGGGGGCTGCAAAATGTAATCGGCACGGTGTCGTCAATTATTAATCGCTAACCGCGTTAATTACTTGCAGTGGCGTAGGTGCACCTGTCACTGCCACAATGGCGCAGCCACAATGGATTTCGGGAGAGACGAGCGACGGCGAGAGCGAGAGATTCAATCGTCACGGACGGCTGATAAAAGCGATAACTCCGCGGGTTAAATCGCTCCGTTTCTATTTTCAATTATATTAGTACTCTCTCGCGATGTAATGCATATTATCATGGGAGTTCGCAGGACATCATTAGTTTTTGCTTTATTAACTTTTGTTCCTTCTTCATTTTTTTTAATTTATTTATTTTCATTTTTTTATATTAAATAAGCAAATAAATTTTAGTGTTTATCCAAAAGGAGATGCTTAATTTTTTTACTGATTCCAAGGGGGTAAATGCCCCCCGTATTTGTCTCCCTCTGTGGACGCCCATGCATTTTCGCGACAACAGGCAATAATTAGAACCCTAGAACACTAGCAGGGATAATATAAATCCGAAGAACAATTTTTGCCATCTTTTTAAATATAAAGGGGTAGTAAATGTCTCTATTGCAGATGTTTCAGAGATCTTACATCTTTTTTTGTTTTTCATTTTTAATATGTTACGCTGCTACTTTATGTAAAGTCTCGTTTAGCGAGCACGCACGCTCGTTAAGGAGATTCGATTCGATAAACAAGAAAAATTACGATATCAAAGTAGGGTGGGGAGTCGGGACTTTCGGGAATCGAAAAGGTAAATTTCGAAACGGGCGCGATACCACCGGGTAGCTCGTTAATACTCGTATCGGGCGAAGAAAATTACAGGAAGTTGTTTGTCGGATCGTGTTGTTGCTCAACTCGCGGGCCGAAAAAGGCGGGCAAAAAGAGGGTCAACGAGATACCTGCGCCGCGATAGGCCGGAACGCGGCATAATTCGTGAGGAGGACACGGGCGTCCGCGCCACCGGTCTTTAGTCCGGTCCAGCACGGGCATTACATCGCCGGGAGGAGAACCAGTTTTACAAAATTATAACGATCGCGCCGCCGCTGTGTGTTATAGTTGTAGGAAAACGTCGGGATTAGCTCGCCTCCCATCGGCCTCGTCCTGTCACGGAAGCTCGATCTTCGTCAAAAACTGCAGCGTTCTGTAGGCAAATCCTAAGAATAATTCGCGACATGGATGATTTAAAAAATATTGCTTCGCGACGCCAAAAGTAGGGTTGGATAGAAAAATTCATATACGTATATTCTCGATGAAGTTTCACACGCTAGGATGGGATAACAAAATATTTGCTGTTCATCAAAATACTTGAGCGCGCGCAAGCTCTATCGACCTTAGCAAACGAGTCGGCCATTTTGCGGCGTCCTAATAGACTTAGCGCTAGAAAACAGACATCGCGCGAGCCACCCTGTGGCAAGGTGGCTGCCGCTTCCCGCCATAGTGACGAATCGAATTAACTTTATTACATCCGTCTTTTGTTTTCCGCCCCAACGACCGCCACTCTATTTTCGCCCCCGTCCTTTACTCCGCCTAACTCCAAGCATGTTCCGCGCAAGTCGCCCTTGCTTAATCCCGATGGTATGGCAAAGCGATAGTCGATTTAGCTATATCGATTAAAAATGGAACAAAATGGTATTTGACGTGAAAATATATGCGGGAACATACTATTTCTATCACCTGGATCATTATATATAAATATTTAATAATGACACGTGACACGTAATAGTTTATTTATACGTTAATTAAACTTCTATCTGAAATACTTAGCTGATTTCACGAATAATCAAAAATACAGAGTGTAGCTAAATAAGTGCAATAAATTTTAGGAGATGATGCTTTGTCGAAAATTAAGTTATTATTTTTTTCCTCAAATTTCAGACAACTTAAAAGGATGAAACTTGATGGATAATTTTCACTAAATATAAAAGAGGATATTTATTAACATTTTTTCGATCTTCCTGTATCGTTATATAAGGGGATAAAACTGAAAAAGGTAAGTGTAACTCTTCACACACAGAGAGGGACATGAGAGTATATAAGCAACGAACATTTTTCACACTTATTTATATAATAAACAATCAAATAAAATCAAATTCTGCTGAAAGGTGTCAAAGTAGGATGAAAAATTGAAATTACATGTATCAAATTTCTTTGAAAGTCTGGCGGGAAAAAATACAATTTTTAATAATTTGACACGTAGGAGATCTTAACACTTTCATAATTCAACAATTTGTGTCGAAGCTGGTAAGACTCTATTGGGGGATGATTTCGTAAAATTTGCGCGAATTGACGACAGCTGTCAAAAAAATTGCGTGGCACTTTTCACGTATTGTATTTCAATTAAATTTGATTTATGTGAAAAATATATGTTCAAATGTTTATATGATGCCATATAGATATATGAATACATGTCAAAGCACATCAAGAGAGAGAGAGAAAAGGAATAGATACAAATTGAAACAAATCGTCGGTGAAACTTCAATTATCCCGAATCGCGAATAATGTCGATTGATTTTTTTCTTATACACAACTACAACGATTCTGAAATTTCCGAACAAACTAATTATGGAACAACGCCGATTGTGTTGCAGGAGACAAACGGCGGAGGAGCGAGAGGCCGAGAGGCAGGCCGCGAATCGGCTGATGCTGTCGTTGCAGGCCGAGGCCCTGGGTAAGGTGGCGTACCCGACGACGGTGTCCGGACATCCGGGCGGCGCGCCGGTCTCCGGTCTGGACAGCAGGCAACAGTCGTCGGCGACGGCGTTGACCCATCCCGGGGTGGGCCAGTGGGCCTCCCCCTACGGTCCACCGCAGCCTCTCGCCGAGCCAATTTGCTGAAGCGCGACGACGAGCCAGGACGGTCTCGCCGAGTGAATCGTCGCGTCTTCTTTACGAGCTCAGAGATCGGAAGGGAAAATCGGAACGAGTCGGAGATATATATACCGATATATCCCACGCTCGTGTCTCTCCATTTGTCAATTTCGATCTACGTACACATCCAATTCCGTTCCTTCATTCGCTTCGCGAGAACACGACGGGACACTCATTCGCTCATCGACCGATCGATATAAGGTAACAACGATAGAGAAGATTTTTGTCTTTTTTTTCCTAGAATATAATTACGAAACGTAGGCTACACTCTAGAGCATTGCCTTCCTTCTGCCTTACGATATTTAGGCGACCACCATGAACACGAACGTCCTAAAGAGCACCGCGAAATCGAACACATTGTATGTACATTGCCTTACGCAGCACGTACTCTCGGAAGCTGCATTTTAGCCGCGGCTCCGAGATTTTGCCATATTATCGTCACGGTTTAAGCAGTTAAGCAGCCGCGCGGCCGATATATCGTCTACACACGACACGATAATCGTCGTGAATTTATCATGTACGAACACAATCGAATCGCGTTAAAAGCGTTTTCCGTTCTTCCTCGCGAGATGAGATTGTGTCGCAATTAACCTCCCCGGTTGACGCGACATTATCGACATGTACGTGTCTCAATTCGACGAGATTGAGCCGCGGGGAGCGAGAGAAATCCTTTCCGAACGCGTTATTTCCAGATCTCACGTCAAATGAATCCGGACGTTTCGATAATGTCCCCACCGTACTGACCCACTCGGTCTTTTCTAAAGGGAAGCTCTGCATCGTTATGCATCGCGTCGAGAGAAGGCATCCATCGATTGCGAAAAAAGCGAAGGTCCGTATTTACATCCTCATTCAACATCGCATTTCACGCTGGATGTGAGCCGGATAAATTCTAAATTTTATCGTAAAATGCACTAGCGAATAATGAGTTATTAAGAAATAAAAATATTGTTGAAAGAGAAAGGGAGAGAGAGATTTAATTTTTCTTTTAACGAGTAAAGATATTTTTCCATCATAAAGAAAAAATGTGAATGCGGGCCTAACAGGAACAGTTGACATGACATATCTGTGTACATATTAGGCGCCATAGTTGTAATTAGACATTATACTTGTACGATATGAAATATACTTGTATACGCAAACAAAAAACGCTGTCGTGCCAACGTATCGACGGCGTACGTTCTCTTTGATTGTTATATGCGTCCTGTATATATTAAATTTGCGCAACAACGCGGCAAGAAATGCAATCAAGATTACATTATATCCGGAATTATTATGATTATATATATATATATATATATATTGCTACACACATACATTAAACACACACACACACACACACACACACACACACACACACATACTACGATCGTCGTCGTCGTCGTCATATGATTAGGTATGTATATTTTTAAATTAAGAGTTCAGTCGTAATTATATTATTATAGCGAACGATGTGATGTTATGTAAGTACGTGTAACGTTGTATATACGAGAAAAAGAATTGAAATGCATATATAAAATGGTTTAACTGCTATACAATCCTCGCTATATCTAATTATAACATCTTTGCGAGAACGACCGTGCCGACACTGGGATTGCGTGGGAAGAGCCCGGAATTACGTCTATTACCGCAGGAACAATTAGCAATAATTTCAGCATTAACTTAATAATAGCCAGCGATTCATTCCGTGATACATGGATAATTATGAATCTTAATGATTTCTTTGCGCTCGCGTTATCTCGATTTAATCGCATATCGATTGCAATACGCATTATTTAAAGTAAAAGTTCAAATCTTTTTATCACAAAAAATGTTTTTAATCAAATAATAAAGTTTCAAATCGCGAGATTAATCATTGAACTGAACTTTGTGTGAAGCAATTCTTTCTCATTATTTTTTTTAAATTATCAGGTAATTTGTTTTTGGAGATCAAAGTTCCTTAATATGAAATCATGTAATTTTGATCATATAAATCAATTCTCAATTCCGTGTAAAAGTATTCAGGTAAGATTAATAAAAAAAAAATCAATCGAGACGAGAGATTATTTATATAATTCACATACTAATATTCTAAAACAGAAAATATAAAATGCCTCGTAAAGGATCCAATATAGGTATCCAAGCTTTCAAGAAATTATAGGATCGGAAAGAATTAACGATCCTTTTTTTCAACAGGTGCAGTGAGGCGCACCTGGAATACGCATTTGCTTTCTTTTTAAAAGACGCAATTATACGCTTTCCTGACGTCAATCTCATTATTTTGTACAATGTCACTCGTACAACGTTTCGCGGCAAAATACCCGGAACGACGGTTCATTTTCTTCCCCCTAGGAGGAGATCGGTACACGCTTGTGTGCAAATTGCCCCATTTAAAGAAATACGTAGAAAGTATCGCGACGGGTTATCTGTAACGAGAACTCATTACTCCGTGTCAGCTTAATGCCTACATCTTCTTTGGAAGCTCGATTTCCGTCCTCAAACGACTACCTTGTCATATACAATCGTATTTTGATCTTTTTCGCATCCGTCAGTTTTCCGTTTCTTTTTGTTTCTCTCCCTCTCGTTCTCGGCCTCTTTCCCCTCCGTCAAAGACGCGACTCCTTTTTCTCCGATCGCCTTAATCGGTGTCTTTCCTCGTGGAATATTATCCCGACTTTACCTAGAGTTCCTCCCCGTGTACCGGATGTGGCTGCGTTTACTGCCTATAATTGCAGAGAAGATGCGGCGCGCCGTCCCGCCCAATTATTTGGGGACAAACGAAGGTCCTCGTGGATCACGAAGAAGTAGTACCTGCGCTTTTGATCCGAATCGTGCAATCCTAAACACGTTCTAGGATGCATGTATATTCGCGAATGAGAATTCAAGATTCGACGTCTATAGAAAATTTTATTCTGGAAAAAACGCGACTCGACTTGCTATATCCTTCGACTTATTAATAACGCATTTTATCTAAGAAATAATAATAATAATATGCTGAAAAAAAATTTCCTGCCGCATTAATTTATTACTACAAAAATTCAGAACAGACTATGATTAAATCGTTCACCGAATGACTTAAAAACCAATGAGCATTGTTCATTTTAAAGAGTACAACTTGACGGAAGTATCCCAAATGTTTCCGGCATTTAGCACGAAGAGTCGGCGAGCGAAGAGTTTCCAACAGGGAAACCGGACTGACCGGCGCCCTGTAATCTCGTCCCACAAAAGCGGAGATCTTTACCTGCGGTATTTCTAGTTTTTAATGTTGTGAGAGATGCTGCGTCGAGAGAGAAAGAGGAGATGGCCAATTACGAGGTCCCCGGGTATCAAGACGTCCGACGACGAAGTCGTTGACCGCAATCTGAAGAGACGCCGGGAAAAAAAGCCGGACGGATCGAAAATCTCGGAAATTCAGAAGACACTCAACAATATTTAATAAATTGTCTAGTATACGAGACGCGCCTTTCTTGACGTTAAAAAATCTAATAAAAAAATCTACGCCTCTCTCTCTATCCTTAAATGAACTCGCGCGTTTCCAGCTTCAAACGTCTTCATCGTTTTCCCGAGTAAACGAAGTGTTCAGCCTCTCCGTCAAATGGAACGTGCAAATAATAGCGTTTTTCGAGAAAATTGTAAGTCCCAAGCGCATCCGGGCGCGCGCGCGTGGATCCTCGTATAATCTCGCGAGTCACGCGCGGAATCGACGCGGAATTATGCAAATTATTGATGTCGTTTACTACTACTCGTTGCCCTCCCGGATCGGCGCGCACCCTGGAAATTAATCTACGCTTTCATGCGCGCTCTCTCTCTCTCTCTCGGCACGCACGCGCCACCCCTAGGCTATACTTCGCCTGGCTATCGGGGGGATGAAGGTGTGGGAGGTGGGTAGAAATAACGCAAATGAAAAACTAATCCAAATATCTCTCACCCCACCTTCCCGAATAAATGACGTTTAATAATTATTTCTCTCTTTTGCGAGCCAACACGTATACTTTTATATAGAGATACGCGATTACAATTGTCTCTGAACGTAGATGGCAAATAAGTGCGATAGAGGAATGAAATTATTCATCGCGCTTAATTGGAGTTTATATCGCACTCTCGTTAATTTCCTGGGAGCGCGTAATATCCGCTTTGTCTTGAGCTATCTGATTTTCGAGATCGCGATATATCGTGGGAACGACTCTCTGGAAAGAGAGTCGTTGTCTTGAGAGACTCGTTAATAAGCTCGTCGATCTCTTCGTATATATACATACATATATACACAATCGGCCGCATATGTCGGGATAAAACTTTCAACGAGATCACTCGGCGAAGAAGAGGAATAAAACGAGCCCATAGAGAATATAGAAGCGATGTTAATAACATCGTTCTCTCCGTTTGATCGCCATTCTTGAATACCGTACCGTATGGTACGTATCCGCGCATTGCGGAGTCAATACATATATATGTATGTGTGTATATGTGTGTATTTGTGTGTGTTTGCGCACACGCATGACACGCGGGCAGCGCGTTTATAAAATCATGAGCGGCGCGCTGCCATATTTACACGAAGCGTAGAAAATTTATTGTGATTGCGCTTCGCGAGAGAGAGAGAGAGAGAGAGAGGGAGGAGGCTGTGCTTTTTTCTCGCTATATATACCGCTGCGCGGCCGAATGGCGGCACAATTTCGCGACGGCAACAACAAGTCGCGCTTATGGAAATTGATAGTTCCGATGAAAAATAAATCCGCGAACGCGCGACGCGCTCGTCGAGTATTTCCGGAATTATTGCGTCGGTGAAAACGACAATTGTATCTATTTTTCAGATACCTGTTAAGAACAATATTTGGAATTTTCCTTCGGCAATTTTTCTTTATCGAAAATGTTTTCTTACTCTCTAAATTTCTTGGAGTGAAAACCGAAGAGTGGAATCTCACACTTTTGGGGTAAAATTCCATTCTTTTGAAATGAGATCGTTCGATTGTCACTCTAAGAAATTTAGAGAATATTTAAAATATTTAACTAAATGCATACTAAAAAAAAGGATATCTTGAAACAATGATTGTCCTGCTTGGAAACGCGTTTTGTTTCCGAGAAGGATATAGAAATGTCGCTCTGCTCTGCTTCTTCCGGCGAAGGAAGCGCGCCGGTTCCGTTTTCGGAGAACCACCCAGTTGGGTGGCATATCTCGATCGAGAACGATCAAGAAGGGCCGATCAATTTTCGTGGCCGTTAAGTGCCTCGTGAGCGTGTTTCCTAAAACACAGTGTGTCAAGAGGGGCACACACCGTTCATTTCCTGCCCGTAAAACGCGCAGGGTTCTCCTCCGTCTATCCTGCGGAGCGCAGTCTCTCTATTTCCGATCGTTTGCGGTTTCGCTGCGGCGGGGAACGGCCAGGGAAAGAACAGTGTTAAAACCGAAATCACTTTTTTTCGGCTAGACAGACACCGCCAGATGGACAGCGATCAGCGTCTATTCTTTCTCGATGATCATCGATGACACCATGGGCAGGATTTTTTCCAGGAGGGAGCATTATATTTTTTTTTAAATTTTTGTTCTTTCTTAATTTTTTATTTATTTATTTTTCAAAGGGATTCAAAGATCGTGCAAAAAAATGTGATGGCACCATGGGCGTCCACAGGATTTTTTCCAGAAGGGAGCATTATATATTTTTAAAAATGTTTGCTCTTTTTTAATTTTTTGTTTATTTATTTTTCAAAGGAATTCAAAGATCGTGCAAAAAAAATGTAATATATTAAGAAGTATTTTTTAACGCTTGAAAATAATTCGATAACAAACGAGCGAATACAAACGTTAACGTGTCTCCTACCTTCTCTCCGAGGGGTGAAAGGGGCGGAAAAAGGGCACGAGCGAAAGTAATAAAAGCAGCGAGCGAGCGTGACGTGCCCGAGACGGAAATTGTACTTGTCAAACGCTTTTCCGTCGTTCCGCGCTTTTTCGTTTTCAACTACGTGCGGCGCTGGAACTATATACGCGCTCCCTTGTCGCGCGACAAACGACAGGCGACAGACGACAGCACGAAAAAGGCGACAGCCCGCTTCTGATCCGAAGTAGCGAGGTAGCGACCATTTAGGATGATTGCCCGATTTTATGTATTTATACCCGGGGAGAGCCGTCGCGGACCGCTTTTCACACCGCGCCGACGTTTCTCTCTTCTCTATCGCTAATAGGAATTCGTTCCGCAGCTTGTATCTCTGCCGGGAAGAGGTTTTTTAAACGTCGCGGACACGAAAAACATAACGAAATAATAATCGATATACGAAATCAGTATTAAAAAGATAAGAGCCGAATATTAGGCGAAATAAAGTTCTTTCTAAAAATTCATCCTCATCAGCAAACCGGCTTCGAAACGGTAGCTGGATTGGAACAAAGAGCCTTTATGGTTCTTATTGATCTTTTGATTTTTTGAAGAGGTTTTTTCGACGTCGCGAACACGAAAAACATAACGAAATAATAATCGATATACGAAATCAGTATTAAAAAGATAAGAGCCGAATATTAGGCGAAATAAATTTCTTTCTAAAAATTCATCCTCATCAGCAAACCGACTTCGAAACGGTAGCTGGATTGGAACAAAGAGCCTTTATGGCTCTTATTGATCTTTTGATTTTGCATTGAATTTCTATCAGAAACTTTTCAATTTATTATTAAAGTAATAATCTCCTCGACACTTTTTCGTAGAACAATAATTATAATTGTCACGACGTGATTCCGTAACTTTCGGAACTGCTTCCGTATTCAAGAGAGAATGACGCTTTGATCTTTCATTTCATATCATATAACATCGCTCTGCTTTTAGAGCCGGGCTTTATTCCAAATTATATGCGGATTCTAACGTATATGTAATTTATATATGAAATATATGTTAAAATATTTGCGAGAGATATATACACACACAAAAATGGATCGTACATCATTCACGTTACGACTCGTATATTCAACGAGGTTCCATCAAGTTTTACATTATTCCTCGACAGGTTGTATATTTCGTGATCGACGCTATTTTACGAGACAAGTTGCCGGCCGTCATAGGCTTTATCGTCGCAAAATATACGAACGTATAATTTCACGACGCTTATTTAATGTATCGCGATGGTAATTTCACGAGACACATTTTATTAGATCGGAAAAGCGCATACGGGAATAAATTTATTTTTTTTAAATAAATTTTAATTTTAATAAAAAAAAATATTTTTACAAAAACGATCTATTTAAAATTCTGAAAACTCTCGGTCTCTCATCGTGATCCCCAAACTGCTCGATGCAGAACTTCTCGCTCGGAGAGAATACGGTGGTTGTTGGATTCCCGGGAGTATCGGGGGACAAATAGGAAAATGGCCGAAGCAGACGACACGTGTGTGCCACCCCGTGATGACTGACTCGACGGAGACACCGGGTATAACAAGCGGGAGAACCGCGCGCGATATCGTCAGAACGTTTTAATATTTAATGCGATTAAACTCGTCTCGTTCCCATCCCCCTACACAATCCCCACCCCATCCCCCTGGTAATTGGTTTCTGATTAACAGCCAAGTTTTAAGTGCATTAGCCGTGTGCAATAGTTACGTACACGCTTCTCCCGGCGTCGTCGAGCAATAATCTTGAGTGCCGCGAAGATCGTCGTCAAAGTATCGACATCAGTCCTATATATATATATATATATATATAATCGAACGCGATTCTCGCGATTATCGCGACGTTGATATACGTCTCGCAAATCAAGCAGCGATATCCTACGCGAGAGAAATCGCGCGCGTCCGATCGTGCTGGGGCTTCAATCAAAAATTAATCTGTTATGTTTTCGCTCACAAACGATCCTTATCGGCCAATATCCGATACTCTCGGCGGACGCTGCCGTATCGCAGCGGGAGATAAGTTGCCCGTAGGGATAATCCACGGACTCAGCGGGTGTCTCTATTCGGCACGGTTTCACTCCATCTTCCGTTGACAGACGAAATCCCCCCCGTGTCGAGTACCCATCGCGCGGACGATCGTCCGCGATCTATTCTATCCGACCGACTGTCCAATTAAGAGAGCGAAACTTAATTAGCCGTCACCGAGCGAGAATCGGGTGAGAGAGACTCGAGAGGAAGTCGACGGAGACCCGCGACAGCGTATGAATTTCATTTCAACACGTTTCCGCGATTTATCAGTCGTATATGCGTATACAGGGTGTCTGACGTGAGGTGTCACACCGAAAATATATATGCAAGTAGATCTTATTATTAGGAGAACAATTTTTCTCTCGGCAAAAATAGTGGGGCATTAATCATTTTCGAGATATAAGCGATTGAAAATAAAGGGTTTTTTCGCAAACTAAGCCTTGTGGAAATTAAATATACTCGTAATTAACAAAATCTCACTCTCACAATTAATTTCAAGTGGAGTTTACTTTAATACAATTTTAATTTAAGGTTTAGTTGTAAAGATATATGATAACGAAAATGAGGAACATGCAGAAAATGATGGTCTCCCTCGACATTTTTGCTGAGGAAAAATCGTCTCCAAATAACGAGATCTAATTTTATATTTTCGGTGTGACATTTTATGTCAGACACCCTGTATATATTTCTTTCGTTTCTACACGAATATCCTGCGATAAGCGTCAAGATGGATTTAAGGATGTGACGTATAAGATTGGGAATAATTTTTGGGGCAGATTTTTCTCTTCATGCGGTCATTGTGATAATTTATTTTGTATGTCTTCGAAATAATCACGAGTCACATTTAATTATATGACGAGTACATCACAACGAGTATTCGTTTCAGTAATTATCGTCATTTGGTCCCTTTTCCCGGTATAGCTGAGGGGCATAATTGTCCGTGTGAGGGAGTTTCCTCAGCCTGTCTACGAAATCGCAGTGGAACAGCGGCTAAGAACAAGATTTTTAATAGATTTATCCGAGTGATTTATTAAAAGGTCCACGTACGATTTATCACAAAAGAAAAATTTGTGTTTTCTGATTAAAAACGGTCCCCGTGAAAATTTTTGTGTTAAATATTTAACACATTCATGCGTTAATTTAACATATTGCTGTTGTGTTAATTAAACTTATATGTTAAATTATTAAAACAACTGAAAAAAGATATAAAAATAACACAATGTGTATCTATTTTTAATTTTACACAATAAATATATTCTGCTTTATTAGTGACAAGATTTATCTGTTAAAATTGACAGAAAAATTGTTGATTCTCTATTTTATAATATAAGTGGGAATAATAAGATCTAAAATTAACATATTTTGAGTTAATTTTTACATTGAAAAACTATGTTAATTTTACACAAAATTTATTTTAAATTATTTAAAACTTTGCATTGATTTTGTGTTAATAAAATATTAACACAATATTTGTGTCTCCATTTAACATATCCATATAATGTTAACACAAAAATTTCTGTGGACCGTTTGGGATACTATGTGATATCTCTTAAATTTAACACAAATTTTTAAACTGTAACAAAATTAATCGCGCGTCAGCATAGACAATTTCTTTTTTTCTAAAGCTTACATGTTCGTCGGCGCTTCCGTGTATCAGCATCCTCAGTTTCTTGAGTTCACCGCTGCTGAAACGACCGTCTTCTAAGATCTCCGAACTCAGAAATTCCGATCGTTTGCCATTAGTCCAGCCACGACTGTATTGAAAGGTTTGGCAAAGCACCATGTTTACGATCAACAGCGGGACCAGAAAAACGAACATGCGATTGACGGTCATCTGAAACGAGGCAAATCCGCCAAATCGGCGATGAGGAGGAACAGCGTGTTTTGCCTCTCGCAGATATAGTGGAGAAAATAAGAAGGAAGAGATGAAAAGACGCAAGGAGGGCGATCGATATATCGGCGGAACGCTTTTCCTTTTCCTTCAAACATATTCGCCGTATATTAGTACGCTAAATAATTGCGCAAGGACGAGCGATTCCGGAACTTATTGGCAGCTCTCGAAGACACGCGACTAATGACTTTCAAATGTTAATTATCGGCGATAACTCGCAATGAGTGACGCGCTCGAATAATTCGACGGGTTTTATTAAAACTTTTTAGCGAACTTTGCGAACCTTCTTTTCGTCAATTTCGAGCTTTCTCTGAGATTGGAACTTTATACAGGCTCCATTATTATCGGAGACAAGCGTGCGAGCGGTAGGTACCTTGATTGACCGCGATAATTACAATCCTTCTAATATATGTATATATCTGAAGAAGAAAATATTCTTTCTGCAACGTGTTAACGTCACGACGAGCTTTCGGAGTAATCTCATGCAATCGTAATCGAATTTCTGCCCGCAAGAACGGACGAAGGAAGAGGAAGTGACTTGACTCACGTTTTCAGCGTAGAAGGCGAAGGAGAAAAACAATAGGCCTATAACTAAGTCACGATAGACTTGCCGAGGCAACGATCCGTTCAAAGCCGTGCGATTTAAAATTGCGCGATCGTGAGTTTATTGCTCGCTTTTTTCTTAAGATATTATTTATTTTATTACGGAATGCTAATCGATCGACGATGACGTAAGCCTTACGGCGAAACGATATGCTTCATCGCGACTGTTTCCTTTCTTGTTTACACACCGAAAAAATTGTTTTCTTAAAATGCACATACTTTATAAGTCCACTTAAATTAAGAATATATTCTTAATTTCTTTTTGCAACTTCAGTTCCGCAATAAATAAATATAATGAATTAATAAAATAAAATCATTTAAATTATTTAAATTTATAATAAATTTATAAGTTTATCAATATTAAAATAATAATATAAGCAAAAATGTGTATTTAATTATATGTGTAATAAAAAACAAATGTCCACTTGTAAGACTGTTTTTTGTTATCACAATTAATAATTTCAAATACACAGATAAAAACATCCCATTAAGTATATATTCTTGGCATGTTAAGAATATGCAATTTGTCTAATAAAAAATATCTCTTTAGAGAATTTTCCTCTTAAATTAAGAGGGTCCTTTTAGCGTCTACTTTAATGGAAGATTATGAAGATAAGTGGCATACTTAATATGCGAATACAATTTTTTCAATGCTTTTTCAAATTCATTCAAAAATTGTTCAACAAGATGTATATATTTTTTATATCTCTTCACTTTTATACAGATACATGAACATTGAAATATTTGACAACGTAACGCGATGTCGAATTTATCTCGGCTAATAAACTGTATAAAATTCTTGCAAGTCTGTCTCTTTTTTTAAACCTCGAGTTATAGTATAAAAAAAGTGTTATAGTGTAAAAAGAAAAAAAAGATGATGCGTTTATTGCATCGACGCGTGTATACCGGAGTGAGAGACGTTTTGGAAAATTTTCAGGGCTCACGTTCGGCTTTGTTCCGCGTGCTAATTTTAAGAGGAACCATTAACGCTACGAGCGCGTCCCTGGTCATTAAGATAAGCGTAAGTGCTACTAAGTGTCCGAGAGGATAAGAAACGTGAACCGGGGTCTCCGTTGCATATAGAGATGAAGCATCCGAGTCACTATGCGGGAAACACGCCAGTAAACATCGCGCGTTTACCAATAATATTAAACGATGTTTAATTTGTAAGCAAAACAAGAGAGACAGAGAGAAGATAGATTTCTGAGAACGAACTTGGAAAATTGCACGATGCGAGATGACACATGCTTATCGACTAATTATTTTCCACATATATTATTTTCTGCAAATATATACATATGCCCACATATGTATTTCTCTTACAATCAGAAAATAGAACTTGTCATTAGACAAGAAAATTAAATTACTCGCCGAATATCGCTTATTATGCTGATATGCATCTATCAGTTTTTCAACTTATTAGTTATTTATGAGCCAGCGATGACAGCGTTCGACTAAAGACAGACATTTTGCTTGTTAGAAATTAATTGATGAAACAAGATTGATTACAGGCGGCCGCAAAATAATTATTTTCTAGTACCCGGACTATTTTTGTCGCGTGACGTTAGGGCATGCGGGGGAAGAACCGGAATTGAAAAATGCCAAAGAAACAATTGATTTCGCCGCGTTGAAGTTGTATCGCGTGGATTTTCCATTTCACGCTGACGGGCAATTTGTCGTACGTTTCGTAATCCATTAGCTCCACAACTGGACTGTTCCGTTTCTCTCTCCCACCTTTTCCCGTAAGTCTATCTGCCCATTATGTATCATTTTCTCTTATTGATACTTCTATTATCCGTATACGATTACTTGAGTCTTCCCACGATATGCGAATCTATAATTTGCGATAGCGACGACTAGATTCTTTCGTTTAAAAAGAATGTTTGCGAAGCAAATTGTCTTCATTTAGAAAGTAACGTGACTAATGAACAATGCTAGGGTATCTTTCCTTTTTTTAAAAATCAAGAAAATGATTAATTATTGTATAAATAATATTATTAGCAATGTCTATAAAAATATTCGAAGAATAAAATATATACAATGTTGTAAAAATCAGAATTCCTTAATAAAATTTCATTCCTCTATTAATAATCTTAAGCATGTGTTACTTTGATAGAATTTCTAGACTAGAAAGAAAAGATTACACATGCAATAAAAAAGAAAAATTATTCTGATCTCTATGTAATAATTGACTTCAAGAGAAATTATAAAATTATAGAATCCAGATTAGATTAATTCAATGTGTAATATCGTGAGAAAATTTTAAACGCCGCACCATCTCTGTTACAACTTCGAATTTCTATTATATTTTCACGTTCTTATACTCATGTATCATCATCCATTGCAATCAGTTGCTGATGTATCAGTCGTCGATAAAAGCGAAAGATTCTCAACGTAAATACGGTATACCGTCGCGGACAGATCAGACATTTAAAATACATTCACATAAAATCGATACTTACGAATAAAAACTTTTGAGATATAAAAAAAAGAACTTCTTGTTTGCAATAAAAAGCTTCCGAAAGCTTACATATAAAAAATTTTCATCGAAGCTTAATTCTAATTAATAATTCTTGATTTAACTATGATACAATTAAGAGCGAGAAGCGATATTAAGTGCGCGCACCTTAAAATTTTCTTGGTTGTTGCTGAAACTCTATGTTCTCGTCCTGAAGAAAGTCCTGCTAAAACTGTACTCAGGTCTGATCACGGAGGAGCTTTTATATACGCTCCAGAAGAAAAGCTGACCTCTTGAAGTTGACAATCAATATTGACATGCAGATGA